TTTTCACAGCATGCCCAGATATTTCTTCCTGATTCCAATCAAATACATGGACCCTGGAATCCTATTTATAGCCACATGTGACTGTGTAACCACTATGTGGTGACACTGTGTTATGCTAATAATGTGTGATGACAAAAAAGTCGTCCAATGGCTGAAGAAGTAGAACAACCGATGACTCAGGAGGTGCTGGACCAGAAAAGAGTGAGTTACAATGGCAGGTCCACCTTTCATTCTCCTGTTCTGAAATCAAATGAGAAGAGGACTGATATGAACTGCTGGTTAGGGGAAGTAGTGTTTACTCCCTGTCCCACCCAGCTCCTATGTGTCCTGTTTCTTTCTTATTCTTAGGTGACTCAATATCCTAAGAGTATATCAAGGAAACTGTGTGAGTTTTGGAGAAGGAGAGGTCACATCAAAATTCCCACTGGTTACCAGAATTGGTAGCAGTAGCTAAGAGAATAAAGTGGCAGAAGTCAAAGGAACAGAGAAACATGTAAAGGAAGTCGTCTGATGATGTTAGTGGCATCAGAGATCATAAGTCTTCGTAACAGTGAGAAATGTCAGCCATGTATTCTAAAATGGTACTGATCCTTTAACCTCAGCAGAGATAAATAACTAAAATGAATTTCATGAGGCCTCCACAAAAAGGAGAAAAAGATTTACAGAGCTAGAAATAAGAAGACATCCTTTGGGCACATATGTTCTTGACACAGATGCCTCACTTCTGTAGGATTTTATACTCCAGTTGGGACCTTGTTGGGCAAGGGGTAAGTTTGGGGGGATTGTTTTCTTTTTAACATTCAACTACTTTTCATTCAGCAGCAGTACTCTTTAAAAATAAAAATGACCACTGGCTGTCACAGATGAGATTTTTATCATTTTCAATTGAAATAATAAACTTAACCCCAGATCTGACTAATGAGAGAGATGAGGCAATTCTGAGCTTCCCATTTCTAAACCTCACACTGAAGAGGTTTCTGCCACTAGTTACAAAAATCAAAATTGCCAAAGGGCAACATCATATCAAAGGGGAAAAGGAAAATGTCAGTAATGTCATAAAGACATTGGATTTAGCCAAGATCCAACAGGGTCACTAATTCCTGGAAATTTTCTTCCTTTGCCTTAAATTTATTTACCTTCTCAGGAAACCTCTTTTCTAAAAGCTAATAGCATTCAACTGGCTAAATGATAATGGAGATCACACTGGTGGGGGCTCCTGAGCAACAGTACCAGAAAGTCCAATATCTCTAGGTTATCCGTGGAACCTTTATTGGAGTAATAACTATTGTCTTCTGAGGACCTCAAGCTACTATTTTACTTGTAAGTTGAGATAGTGAGCCCAAATGAGGCACTAAAATTGCATCAAAGATCTTGAGAGATCTCAGAGGCCATCTATCCAACTCCCTTATTCCATACAAGTAAAGAATCTAATGTCCAGGGAGACGGAGGGATGACCAAGGTCACTTAAGCAACTATACAACTATACAATAGAAGTGAAATTTGAAGCCAAGGCTTTTAACTACAGTCAGTGAAATCCATCATACCATAATTTATATAACCAGAAATTTCTCTGAAATCCTGCCCTAAAAGGAAAAAAAATGCAACTTTTGCACATCATTCTGCCCTACTCATCCCTGCCTCCCTTTGAAGGAGTGGGAATCCTGGGTCATGATTTCTTCCTAGGTCAAGATTAGTTATTATAATTTACTTAGGATCTTTTTGCAGTAAAATATCTTATATATGTTTTTTCAGAGTTGTTTGGTCTGGACTGGTGATATCACTGGGTTTTGGGAACTCACAATTAGAAAACTCTCTATCAACACAGACTGGAACCAGATGCTTAGCTACTTAAAATTGTAGAGAATTGCCCACTAAGAGGTTAAGATACCTGCCCAAGGCCACACAGCTTGTATATATCAGAGCTGGTATGAATTCAGATCTTTCTGATTGAGGTCAGCTCTTTATCCACTAAGCCACACTTCCTCTCTTACAAATTATCAGTAATATTTAATTTATATCACTTACGTGTGATACTCTTTCTCCTTAATTGACCCAATGATTCATAAAAATCTTTGATGTTCAGCCACAACCATCATAATGGACCCCTGAAACTGAGTATCCATTCTCTATAAACCTTAAACCAATTCTGTATCAAAGATTAATAAATTTCAAGTATTTAATCCTAATAATCTCCAAAATTAACATATTTATTATATCAATTAAAACATACTCTGTGGTATTTTATGTATCTGTTTTTCTAATTGTTTTTGCACAGACCTGTTACGAAAGAAGAAATATCCCCATTGAAATGATAGATAAAGAGGTAAGATGGTCCAGGAGATACATGCTTTTGAGTGGTAAAGTAGAAGAATAATTTATTACCAGTGATCAATTCCCCTGAGCATCTTTCAAGATGGCTTCTCATGACCTTTTAAATGGTAAATGGTGTTCTGCTCAAATTCCACTGCTAGGCAAATTTTCATAAATTTTCCCCAGGTTTTGGCTTCTTTATTACTGTTTGTCAAACTGATTCACGATATGAATTGTTTCCTATATTTGTATTTTGATAGAATTAATGTTTATGTCATTCCTAAAGTTCTGGAGAAGTCTTTTAAGACCCAGTGGTAATTACAACTAGGTCATGATTAGTAAAAATAATAAATTCATATGGCATGTTTCCATTGGGCTGGAATCAATTACTACTTTTTAAATACAAATATACTTTGAATAAAGTAAACTTAAATAATGTGACCTCTTCTTGGGATTTATCATTAACATTACTCAGGACCTACACGTAATATCTCAATTGCAGTGCTCATTGAGGAAATAGGTGTTCAAGTACTGTTGAAAGGTAATTTTTTTCTATGGTGCTAGAGAGAGTCAATATATGCCTTCAGTGTTTCCTGGCAGTTCAAGCTTCCTTCAAGACTATTCAAATGCTACCTCCTAAAAGAAGCTTTTCCTAATATCCCAGATTGTTAGTACTCTTCTAAACACACACACACACAGAATTACTTTGTATTTATTTTGTATAGTTTTTGCATCTACCTATCTTTGTCTATGGTGGCTTCTCTTCCTCTCACTCCCCTCCTGAGAAAGTAAGCATCTTGAGGACAGGGACTATTTTGCTTCTATCTTGGTATCTTCAATATGTGTCACAGTGCTTGGCACATGGTAGGGACTTAATAACTGTAGGTTCTATCAAATTAAATGTATAGTTGAAGGTGGAGGAACACACTTTTAACCCCAGCTATTAAGGGGGCTAGGACTGATGGTTATCGAGTCAGAGACTATTAAGTTTTAGGAGACTTTTCCCATTAAGTATCTAATATTGGCATCAATAGTATGAGACTTTGGAAGTGGCAGGGGCAAGAGATAGGAGGGTGGAAAAGGGAACAGTGTACCAGATTAGCTAAGGAGGGGCAAATTAGCCCAGGGTGGAAATAGAGCTGGGCAAAGAACCTGCACCAATCAGCAGTGGGATCAAGCCATGAGTAGCACCTATGCCTCCAGCTTGGGTGTAACAGGAAGAACCAGACTTTTAAAAAAGAGAGAGAGAATATATAATGTTTTTGTTAGGAATTTCAAATGCTTTAAGAGAGCTTGAACCATTGGTTATAGATGCAAAAGTTATAAGACTAACCTGTAAAGCAAGAGATCTGAACCTTTCTTTTTTGTCATAGATTCCATTAACATAGGCTTCTTTTGAAGCCCACAAACCTTTTCTGGAACAATGCTTTTAAACAGATAAATTAAAATGAAATGGAATTAAAAAGGAAACCAAATATGTTAAAATACAGATGTTAAAATGAAAAAAAAATCATGGAACCTAGGTTAAGAAACTCTGCTTGACCTAAAGAATGTTAGGCTCATTTGGAATCTCTTTTTCATAAAGATTTACAATTTGGAGATGAATGGGCAATCTGTTATCCCTCCTCTGAGTGAAAGTATGTCAAAATGACCTGAATGGGAGGAAAGTTTTGGGAATCATAATACCATAGAACTGTAGTTAGAAGGGATCTAACTAGAATTCTACTCCAAACCATTTCATTTAATAGAAAAGAAGATTAAAGCCCAGGTAGGCTAAGTCACAGTCTTACAAACACTAAGCCTTAGAGATAGAATGTGAGCCTATGTTCTCTGAATCTAGACCCAATGTTCTTTCCACTTTATCATGATGATCTAATTATTCTTTTTAGTTTTATTTTTTTTAATTTGCCCCTTTGGGCACTAAGATTAATATGAATTTCTAAGAAATCATTTAAGAGGATGTTGTCTGGTCATGTCTAAGGTTTCAGCACCTCATTTGGGGCTTTCTTGGCAGAAATACTGGAGGGGTTTGCCATTTGCTTCTCCAGCTCATTTTACAGATGAATAAACTGAGGCAAATGGGGCTAATTGACTTTCCCAGGGTCATATAGCTATTACATCTGAGGCCAGATTTGCCTCAAACTTGGGAAAATGAGTTTTCCTGACTCTATGCCCTACAATCTATCCACTGAGCCACCTAGCTGACCCTTAAGATGATTTAAGTATGTTCAACAACAACAATTAAGGAACTTTAAGTAGATCTTTCTTTTTTGACTCTCTAACAAGACATAATACCCTATTTAATAATACGTGCTAGCTAATATGTTATTTAACCAATCTCCTAAACATTTGTTCTGGTTAAAAACATTTGGTTTAGTACATGTAAATAGAAATAATGAAGAAGAAGAAAAATTTAGTGTTCTTTTCAATGGCTATCCAGCCTTTTGCGACTTTATTCAACTATCTCAGTTCAAACAGTTAAGATTTGGTAATGATAACATAGCTGGTGCTCTATCTATATGGTAAATAGCTGAAGCTGACATATAGTGGGGTTGTGGAAAATCTTTTGGTTTATCCAAGCCCATTAAGGAAGCTGCAAGGTTATGACAATTATATGAATCCCTTCAGACTGTGTTATTTCTTCTTGTGATCATACATTTCATATAAGTGATTAAGCTGGAGAGAAGTACTCACTGCAATCAGCTTCATCAGACCTATCCATGCAGTTAGGCTTGTAGTCACAAACTAGATGATATTCAATACACTTCTTATCTTGACACAGGAAATCTGTAGCTTCTGAGCAGACCTCAGAATACTCTCCATCTGAAATCAAGAGGATATTCAAGTCAATAGGATAAAGATAAGAATAAGGTTAAGGACAGAGATGAGGAAAGGACTTGTGATTTCATCAGTATAGGGAAATCCTCGATGAGGATGAGGAACTATCCTCTTTTGATTCAGGTGTGCAATTTATGATCTTAGAGCATAGTCCTGGCTCTGACAACTGTTTAAGTCAATTAATTAAATCAAAGTATACTCCTCATGGGATCATAGTATCATACTTACTATGTGCCACACACTGTACTAAGTGCTTTACAAATATTATTTCATTTGATCCTCACAACAACCCTGTGAAGTAGGTACTGTTGTTATCCCCCTTTTATAATTGAGGAAACTGAGGCAAAAAGAGGATAAGTGCCTTTCCCAGGGTGACAGAGCTAGTAAGTGTGTGAGGCTAAATTTTAAGTCATATCTTCTTGACTCTGAGTACACTATACTACCTAGGGATATCTGAATTCATTTAGTCTAACCCCCTCATTTACAGATGAAGAAACTGAAGCCTAAGGAATTTAATTTACTTGTCCAATGTCAAACAGGTAAAAAGGAACACAGATGGCATTCAAACCCAGGCCCTCTGACTTATTTCATTTCAGCACTTTGATTTTGATTGAATAACATATTATGCACAGTTACTAAAAGAAGCTGATATGAGTAACAGAGGTTATTCCAACCTATTCTCTTTTTCATAGTTTCTTCCTGCTACTGTATTGATCATGATCAACCTAATGCATGTCATAAATTGTTTTTATTGATGTCACTGTTTTTTACATAACTAAAATCTCCCATTATCCCTTCTTCTCCAAGAGAACCATCCTATGTAACAAACGGTATTTTTATTTATTTTTCAAAGCAGATATGAATTTATTAAAATGAAATAAACATAATATTCAGTTCTTGGTCCAATCTGGACTGTATTTAGTACTACCACGCTCTGCAAAAAGATAAATAACTGCTCTTTCTGAAGGCCTTCCTATCATGGCCATAGTCCTTCTTCATAAGAAAATGATAACATTTCGATAAGTAATTTTTGCAATTTTTAAAATTAATTTATTTTGAATTATCAACAATCATTTCCATAAGCTTTTGAGTTTTAAATTTTTCTCCCCTTCCTTTCCCACCTCCCTCCCCAAGATGGCATGCAATCTGATATAGGCTATACATATACATTCCTGTTAAATATATTTTCACATTAATGATGTTGTAAGTAAGAATTAAAACTAATAGGAGGAACCACCAGAAAGAGGAAACAAAACACCACAGATGAAAAAAATAACAAATAGTATGCTTCGATCTACTTTCAAACTCCATAGTTCTTTCTTCATATGTAGATAGCATTTTCCATCATGAAGTCTTTGGAGATGTCTTAGATTCTTGTATTGCTGAGAAGGGTTAAGTCTATCAATATTAGTCATCTTACAATGTTTCTGTGTACTGTGTACTGTGTACAACATTCTTGTGGCTCTGCTCACTTCACTCAGCATCAGACCATACAAGTCTTTCCAGGTTTTTCTGAAGTCAGCCTGTTCATCATTTCTTATTGCACAATAGTATTCCATTACATTCATATACCACAACTTGCTCAGCCATTCCCCAATTGATGGGGATCCTCTCAATTTCCAATTGTTTGCCACCATAAAAAGAGCTGCTATAAATATTTTTGCACATGTGGGTCCTTTTTCCATTTGTATGGTCTCTTTGGGATACAGCCCTAAAAGTGCTATTGCTGGGTCAAAGGGTATGCACATTTTTATAGCCCATTGGGTATAGTTCCAAATTACTCTCCAAAATCATTGCATCAATTCACAACTCCACCAACAATGCAGTAGTGTTCCAATTTTCCCACATCATTTCCAACATTTATCATTTTCTTGTTTTGTCATGTTGGCCAATCTGATAGGTGTGATGTGGTACCTCAGAGTTGTTTTGATTTGCATTTATCTAATCAATAGTGATTTAGAGCATTTTTTCATGTGACTATAGATGGCTTTAATTTCTTCATCTGAGAACTGCCTGTTCATATCCTTTGACCATTTATCAATTGAGAAATGACTTGTATTCTTATAAATTTGACTTAATTTTCTATATATTTTAGAAATGAGGCCCTTATCAGAGAGACTGGTTGTAAAGATTCTTTCCCAATTATCTACTTCCCTTCTAATCTTAGTTGCATTGGCATTGTTTGTGCAAAAACTTTTCAATTTAATGTAATCAAAGTTATCAATTTTGCATTTCTTAATGTTCTCTATCTCCTGTTTGGTCATGAATTCTTCTGTTCTCCATAAATCTGATAGGTTAAGTATTACCTGCTCTCTCAGTTTGCTTACTGTATCAGCCTTTATATTTAAATCATGAACCCATCTTGACTTTATTTTGGTATATGATGTGAGATTTTGATCTATGCCTGGTTTCTGCCATACTCTTTTCCAGTTTTCCCAGCAATTTTTGTCAAAGAGTGGGTTCTTATCCCAGAAACTGGGGTCTTTGAGTTTATCAAACAATAGATTAATATAGTCATTGACTACTGTTCGACAAGTATTTTTAAAGACAAAAAAAGAAAGAAAGAAACGAGGAAAAATCAGCATAGGTGATCAATACATTGAACAGGTTTGAAAATATGTGCAATGAATACTCATGGATGTCACACCTCTGCCAATGGGGTGAACATATCTTCTTATATAAGTTAATATGAGTTAACACTTTTTAAAATTACTATAACTCTTCTTCTGCTCAGTTGGACAGATGTGGAATCAGTCATGTAGTAGAAAAAAGGAAAGATGGAATACTACTGTTAGTCTTTCATACTACCAGCTTTCCTCTTGAGTCTCTCCTAATTCATATCACATTGGCATAACCCAAATGTCATTAATGAGATTCCTCTTGTAGGTCAAATGCTGGCCTCATTATTTAGTCATGTTCTTGTGTTCCACAGTGCAATTCTATTGGTTCTACCTATCTTTCCCTTTCTTCTTCTCCTATGCAACTGTGTATTGAGTACATGTGGGTGACAGCAATTAATAAAGTATTAATTGAATTATATGCTTAGGATCCTTAGTAGGTGCCATGGAAGGGGGGAGGGATAAAAACACTGTAATAAAAGTTCAAAGACTTGATTCAATAAAAAGGCAGGGCTTCCCTACAATCCTTAATAAAGATCATGTCATGGATTCAGTATTAAACTGGGTATCAAAAGGCCTGGACTTTATTCCTAGTTCTGTGAAAGTCTAGAAATGGATTAACTTTTAACAAATCCCTTTACCTCTCTGGGTCTCCCATTGTTTGTTTGTAAAATGAGAGGGGTAGAATGTGTTGGAAAAGCCAGGATCCAAAAGATCTTTAGAAGCCAGAACATTTGCCAAATCTAATGAGCATGAAATTTAATAATAAAACATGCAAACAGAGTTTTACATTTGGATTCAAAAAAGCCATCTCCCAAGATCGAAATAAAATTATTAGGCTATAGTTTGCAACAAAAATATCTGGAGGTTTTAGGGGAAAGTGAGCGCATTATCATATGACAGCCAAAACACTAGTGTGATTGTGGGTTGCATCGAGAGAGATAAAACTTCTAGGAATAATGAGCCAACAGTCCTATTGCACTCTTCCCTGGACAGACTGCAACCAGAATATGGTATTCAGTTGTGGTCACCACATTTTAGGACAGAGAATGACAAGCTTGAGAATGCCCAGAAGAGGATGAGCAGAATGATCATGGCAATTAAAGATTAGTTTTAGAAAATGAGGATGTTCAATTTGGAGAAGGGAAGAGAAGGCAAAGTGGGAGGGAGAAGTGTGTGAGGGAGCATTTAACATTTAGCACAGTACCAGGAAAAGAATAATTGGTTGGCAAAGAGCTGTCTTCAAGAATCTGTTATATGGACTAAGTTTTATTTTACCCAGAAGGTAGCAATGGGTGGACATTGCAAAGGGGGCAAATTTATGCCCAATGAAAGGAAAAACATTATAACAATTAGAACTACTAAAAAGTGGGAGGGGAAGTAGTGCCTTGTGAAGAAATGGACTCCTACACCGGACACCTTGAGACAAAGACCGCACAAACCGTGTTGGGTATGATGTAGGCAGTTTTATTTATCAGATCTGGGTTGGACTAGCTCTTCTCTGTTGAAACTTCTTGTATTTATTTGGTAATTGTGAGCATATATTTCCAACCTCCTTCTTATCCTCAGACGAAATGGGTGTTGATTCCAAAAGCCTGCAAGTTGGCTAGATGACAACCTATTTAGGTCTTGCTGTGATAATAACCAAAACAAAGTAATATTCCTCTCAAATATGCACATGTAATTTTGATGATTCCAGTGACTCAACAGTCCCCTTGGATAAGGGAAATGTTTTAGGCGATAGGAACTATCATTAAAATTATTTTATTCATATACAAAAAGCAACTTTTTTTTTTAACAATCTTAGGACTAGAGGTACTCTGTAATAGGCAAGATGGATTGCCCTGAGCTCTCCATCATGACACCAATATTGAATGATGCATCACGTTCTATAAGGAATTGCTGGTTCTTAAAATTCACTAAAAGTGTTACAAATGGACCCTTTTCTTTCTAAAATGTCATTTACTATCTTTTTCTCTTTTTTTCTTTCTATAATTCTTAGAAAGCATAGCATTTTGCAGATGATAGAATTGAGTCAGAGAGAGGTAAAAGGGTATGAAAGGTCACAAAGTGAGAATAGGTTTTCCATCAGAGTACAAGCAACTCACAAAAACCTTAAATACTTTCGAGTTTCAAAGTGACTTTCATTTAAAATATTCGCTTTATTAACTTCAACAAATTAATGACGTCCAGCAATTCTTCCTCCATATAGGTAATTATTATCCTGAAGTGGTGAGGCCTGGGGCAAGGAGAGCTTTGGCCAAGGTTGGACAAGGTGCAAAATGTTCATTTATAGAAAGGTTGATGACTGAAGTGTATTTTCCTAAGTACTGGATTCTTTCCCAGGATATACTAGGGAAAACAGCT